TTATTGCCCAAGAGATGGGGCAAGAATGATGTGGACGGTTAGGAAGCCCTGAGGGAAGCTGCTGTCAGGTTCCAGGAATTCAGATACTATGTTGGCTTTGGGGAGAAAAACGGCAGTGAGTTTAACGGGAAATGCAGAGGATCTGGGTGCCCAGGGTCGCTGCAGCCCTGTGAGCACTGCGTGTCTGCTGGCTGAGGTCAGCTGTCACCACGTGTAGGCTTACAAAGGGCATCGACTTGCAGACTGGGCTTCTTTGTCAGTCAGTAAATTATGCATCAGAACCAGTGACTCGTAGACTTTGGGGATTGGCAGGGCCCTCAAAGATAATCCAATCTGACTCTGATTTCACAGGTGAGAAGCCTGAAGGCCAAAGGGCAGAGCTGGGACTATGGCAAATTAAAGAAGCCTTCAAATGCTTTGATAGTTTTGTCATTGACAAGTGAGAACTATATCCACACCCACCCTCCCTTGAATCTGGGCAGGCTCTGTGTCTGCTTGGCTAATAGAAACCTGCTAAGTGACACGGTGCCGGTTTAAGAGACTGGCAGCTTCAGCTTCCTGCTCTGTGAACATGGACTTTTGGAACCCAGATGCCATGCTGTGAGGAAGCCCAAGTAGCCCCATAGAGACACACGTGGAAAGGAATTGAGGTCCCTGGTCAATAGCCCCTAGTGATAGTCAACCTTTTGTGGCCAATTTGGAAATGGATCCTCCAGCCCCAGTACAAGATCTTCTACTGGAAACACATGGAACAAGAATAGCCATTTCTGTAGAGTCCTGCCCCAAATGCAGATTTATGAACAAATTAAATGCTTGTTGCTATTTTAAGCCTCTAAGTTTGGGGATGGTTTGCTATGCAGCAACAGATAATCAGAACAAGGACCAAGTAACGAGTGTTATGACCCTCAGCCAGTGTTTCTTTCACTCTAGTGCATTCGTGCTCAGTGGCTCCCTTCGGGTCCCCAGACCGCTCGTCAGTCTCAGTGGTCTATGAAGCTAGAAAGGCTGGTGACTTATCCTGCATGAGGACAACTGGATGACTGAGAGTCTTCAGCAAAAGTGACCAAACCTAACAGACAAGAGAATCCCTGAGGTCTGGGGTTTGAATGCCTGGATTCTTGAGGCCCATTCCAGCTGTGCTTTGAATGAGAACTGTTAGGAATGAGACTCACACATTTCTATTTTTTAAAGCTTCCCAGATGATTCTGATGATCAGCCAGTTTTGGAAACTGTTGATCATAAATCGTTTGTGAGCAATTGGGAAAAATGCCCCAGCATCACCTACATGCCCAGAGTATCCTAAACTAGACATTACTGGAATTTTTCTATGTCTGTTAAGACTCCTGGACAGGATGAATTATGTCTCCTCCCTAGTTAAGCCAGCTGGGCCTCCAAGTTCTTAACATACTTGCCCTCCATTTAACTTGGTGTTGGCCTGGGATCCCCAGTGTAGATGTCTCTGGACCAGATTAACGTGACAACCAGTAGAGTTGTTTGCTAAATATTTATGGCTCTTTCCTCTTCTTGGCATGTAGTTGGGATACATTTCTGGACCCCTGTGATTGAGTGGGACCATACAAACAACCCTGGCCAAAGAGGAGAAGTGATGTGTGTCACTTCTGGGCCAGACCATTTTATTACAAGTGCAAGACCTTCCAGAATTCTCTCTCTCCATTTGCGTCATGAGTAGTAATGTTGTGGATGGTGGTTCTTTTATCAGCACGGGCTCCTGAGCAGCGATGATGTACAGGGCCTTCTTGCTTACCTACAGCAGACATATGATATTAGCAAGAAGGGAAGTTTTATTCTTTGAAGCCGCTGAGATTTGGGAGATGTTTGCTATTGTAGCATAATCTAGCCTAGCCTGACTGATACAGCCGGTGATGGCAGATGTGTCACTCTGAAGCATCCTCTCTCTTATGTGTCTACTGGTAAGATCATGCCCATAACCAATGTGGATTTTTATATTTTCCACTTTAAAGACTTCTTAATCACAGAATTCTATTCCCATTCTTGCTTAAATGAACACTTCTCCCCAGTAAATATGTCAGTGACCTGTCAGGATTCTCAGAACAGCCACTAGGTGTTGAGAACATGATGCTACTGGTTGAAAGGTAATGGCCTTTGTTTGCCTATCACATGGAACTCTGATAATTACAAATGCTGGGACATAAACGAACTTAAAGAAAATTCTGCTTAAATGTTTAAAACTCTATGGAATATTATCTTTTTAAAGGCATGTCTTACAAGGCGTGTTTCCCAATTTTTCTGAAAAGCCAGTGGTGGGAGACAATCTCTCTGTCAGTGGAATGAGCGTGGATTTCCTGCGCTCAGCAGAGGTGTGCTCTATAGGAAGACGTTATTTCCAGAGGTCATTTTCCTCTCCTATGGTGGTAGAGAAGTTGAGAGCCCTAGTACTCAAAGAGAGGAAACGCTGCCCTATCTCCTGAGCCAGCGTGTGGGGCTGCATCCAGGCAGTGGCAACCTGTCAGAGATTATTATGCTTTTCCTTAGCAGGAGGACATCAACTGAGTGACTGCTTTCTTTCACCTTGTTTGCAAAACTTGTCACCAGTGCATCTTGCATTGGTATCCTGGGTAGTGGGATTTCTTTACCGTTTAACAAATAATTCTCTCCCTACTTGAGCTATATTTGAATTTGGTTTCTGAATTTAGAAGTGTTAACTTTTAGTTCAAGTAACATGTGTATATATTCTGTTAACAAATAATTCAGGTATTGCAAATAATGCTGAAATCCCTCTTGGCCAGCTCCCGTTTCCCATTCCCCTCCCCAGGGTGGATTGCTGTTATCAATTATATGTGTACCCCTTCAAATTTTCATACACATATTTACATGTGTATATATACACCTGTAAAATTATATAGTATTATTGTGTGTTTTAATTTTTTTACATACATGGAATTTATTATTCTTATCGTCTTCAAATAGCTTTCTTCACTTAACATATCATAGAGAATTTTCCATGTTGGTATAGAGAAATCTCATTGTTTTCTATGTAGTTGTTTTCTATAATATGGATGTGCCATAGTATATTTAATAATTTCCCTATTTAAAGACTTTAAGGTTATTTTCAAGATTTTGTTATTACAAAGAGTGTGGCCATAAACATCTTTATATATGTGACTTTGGGCACAGATGTGACTGTTTCTCTAGAGTTGATAAAGAAAAATGGAATGGCTTTGTCAAAGGATCTGGATCATTACATAAGAGCAGTATTTTCTCCTATTTCTGCTATTATTTTATATTGAGTCTTTTATCTCAAAGGTGAAAATGATATTTAATTTTCTTTTCTCCAAGTAATAGTGAGATTAAACTGTTTTTATATTTTTATTTCTGTAAATTATTTCTTTGGACTCTTTTCTCATTTTCCACTTGGATTGTTTATCTTTTTCTTATTGATTTATTGGAGTTCTTTATATATTCTGCATACTCTGCCTTTGTCTGGCATGGTCATTGCAATTATTTTCTATGACTATGTATATCTCTTTTCACTTTGTGGTTGTTTTCTCTGCTTGCCTCATTACCTCTGTTTTCCACTAGTCAAGTTCTTGTATTCCCTGAGTTTGATGCCTCTTTTTAGTGGTGTTAGCTTTTCTCAAATGTTTAATGATTTGTGAGCGATTCTTTGTGTTTGTTTTTCCCTGTTAACCGCCATGTGTGCATTACCTGCTTGTAAGTATGCATAGGAGAGGGTGAGAGGTGGGAGGGAGGCATTGCATGCTGCTGTGCTGTACTCAGGGTGCATAAAGAGAGTCTAGGGAGAAACAAATTGCTGCTAGATGTGTTGCTTTGATGGTTAGACTCCGAGGCAGGAGAACTCCTCATACTTGCAGGGGGTTGTGAGTTGCTTAAGGCAAGAGTCTACTTCATTGTCCAAGCACACATGCTCGTTGCTCATCTCTAAACACAGTTGGCTCTGTTGCTTGCTGCCAGGTCCAAGTAGATCAATCTAAGTAGGAGGAATGGGTGGGAAGACGGGAAAGTGGGAAGTTAGGAAGGATTCTATACCCCTGGTGGCTCTTACTGTGAAAGCTTAGATAATAATCCTGTTAGTGATTCCAGGGCCCTGCCTTCTCTACCCTCCTGGTGGACTGTGCCCAGCCTTCACGTCACCTTTTGCAGCTGCCTTCTCCTCTGCGCCTTTTGGTTGTAATTTTCTTCTTCTATACAATCCTACCTGTATTCCATGTTTTAGTGATTTTTTTCCCCTGATTTCTGGTTCACTGAGGGTACATCTTCTTGTTTTCTAGAGTGGATTATCCTTTCTAAGAACTTTGGGTTAAAGGAGAGGTTGCCTTGTGAAATCTGTCAGCTGTCTTGAATCAGAAGGTCAGAAGTCATCCTACCTGATGTACATTGCACTGTTCAGGCTGTTACTTCTGAAATATTAAATGCTTCTCTTGAGCAAGAGAGAACAGAGGAATATTGGAGGATTTGCCTCACTAATGTAAATATTCTCATCTAGCCAAAGTTGTGCTAGGCAATTTACATAAGCTAAAGAGGGGAAATAAAAGGAAGGAAACCAGACAGTGTAAAAAAAAAATCTATCTTCAAATTTATCTCTGACAGTATTGTCTACTGGAATTTCCCCAGAGGGCCTATCCTGACTTATGAGCTGCATGTGTCAATTGTGTTTGAATAAAATTTACATGTTCACACCCTAGTCCATTTTTAAGTTGCAACACGTCTACAGCCCTCACTCACTAATAAGTCCTCTGGGAACAAAACTGTCCTCCGACAAACCTGGCTGAGTGAAGTGGAAACAAATAGACCATAAATCTCACAGAGCAGCCGTGGCTTGTGGCTTGTGGCTCAGGGGCAATATTTTTGTAAATTGCTCATACCCATGACAAATATTTGCCCTTGCAACTTCTCCCTCATGAGGGCTTGCTGCAGGTATACAGGGAAAATCCTGCTCATGGACTGGGGGCCTTGGCAAGCAGCCCCTAATGTCTCCTTTCTGTCTTCCTCACTTTCAGGGACCAGCTTCTCTGCTACCTCCGCCACCTGTGAGAATGGGAGAGTATCAAGAAGATCAACTGTATATCTCAGTGAGTTTCAGTCAATGTGTTATTTGATCTGGGGTGACACCTCCTGGGTTTTGCCCCTTCTGCTTAATATATACAATACCTTGGAAAAATTTAGTTCACATGTCACAAATTAAAAATAGAACCAGCATTTACATTTACGTTCGCAGAAAGGGTGGGTGACCCCAGCTTCCATTAATCTTCTATCAGGCGGTTTTTTCCTGAGAATATTTGTATCAGTTTTCTTACACGATGAGGAAGAGAAAGTGAGCAAGGCAGAATTTTCTACAGGACTCTTCCTTGAGAGAGAGTTCAATAAGTTGAAACAGAGAATGAAAGTTTATTTTATTTAATGTAGTCAGAACTCGAGGTTTACTGAACTTTGTTCTTAGGCCAAGAATTTAGGGGAACAAGACCTCATTTCTCAGACTCTCCATAGCTCAGAGAATTTTACATCTTTGCTGAAATGACAAGACATCTGAACACATTAACCTTGAAACTGCAGGATCTCGAATTTATCGAAGGAAGTGAAGGTACTCAGATTCAGACTGGACATATTTTCCTTTATCCAACTGCCCTGCGTTCAGGGGGAATACAGATTCATGGAAATTGTAGATATTTGACAGAAATGAATTCACAGTACTAGTCCTAGATTTTTAATGTGTAGGAATCATTGTTTAAGTTTCTGTAGCCATTCTTGGAATGGAAACTTGAGGATATTCAGAACTGCTGAACATTAGCTCTAACAGCCTGACTGTTTGGGTTAAAAGTGTCTTGTATCCACTGGGAAAAAGTCATAATCCTGAAGTTTTGGAGACAGAGATGTGTATACTAGACTAAACTATGGATATATTCCACAGGCTTGATAAAAACTTAGCCTGTTGATACCAGTTCTATAATTAACAAGGACAAAATGGAACTGAGACCAATAACAGGCCTATAAATGTTTTATAGAAGCTACATTTATTAAAATGTATTTTGATTTGCTTTGGTTAATAAAGCCTATATTTCTAAAAAGCCCTTATTTCTGGCTAGCAAATGGACTATCAGGGTATAAACAGTTGACATACATACGTGGCCCATCAGTGGAAAAATGAAATGCACAGCTCTATGGCGTGCCTTCGGAGGGTTACTGACTTATGGCTGGTCTCTGGCCAGTTTCAGGATTCCTAAATACCTGAGGATGGTTGTGCAAGATGAGCACAGGTGCTGGTATCATTTGGCCAGACTCCTTTTTCCCACATACATGGGATGATGCTGTCTTTCATCTTTGTGCATGAGGTGCTGTTTTCTTCGGCATTCTGTAAGGAACCCTCACAGGGAGGGAACGACTGACTGGCTCACCCGAGCAACGGCTTTTCGTGTTACAATGCGATCCCTGTCCCCTTTGTGTTCCGTGTTTTGCCTGTGGCATTTCAGTTCCCTGACTTGGATTTTCTCCGCTCTGTCTTTGACAGTTGCATGAAGCATTTTTGTTTTTTCTTTTTTCTTTTTTTTTTTTTTTTTTTAAAGATTTTATTTTTTCCTTTTTCTCCCCAAAGCCCCCCGGTACATAGTTGTGTATTCTTCGTTGTGGGTTCCTCTAGTTGTGGCATGTGGGACGCTGCCTCAGCGTGGTCTGACGAGCAGTGCCATGTCCGCGCCCAGGATTCGAACCGACGAAACACTGGGCCGCCTGCAGCGGAGCGCGCGAACTTAACCACTCGGCCACGGGGCCAGCCCCGCATGAAGCATTTTTGGTAATGAGACTTCAACTTCATTCTGGATAACGGCCATACTTAAGTACATGCTTTTCAGCTTGGATTATTGCCACACTTATCTTATGAATATTTGTCGGCACTAAGATGTAATTTTGTTTTTTTGTCCAGGATCCGTTACAGAGTCTAATTCCTCCCCCTCTGGCTTTGTTTTCTGTCTTTATATGTGGGACGCTCATCTCCAGTTGAGATATCTTTGGCATGCTCTTCCACCTTGCTGGCCCTCTTGCCTCTAAGCCATTTGTGACTGCTTAGGAGCACGTAGACAGTTTTTCTCCAGCTCTAATGGATTAAGCCATAGTTCTTGTTCTTAAAAAAATTCCTTGTGAGTTATCTTATGCCGTGCAATCTTCAGACGTTGCTTCTCAGTCCTTTAACATTCTATAGTCAGGAAAAGCCTGGGGGAGAGAGGCGACAGGTGACCTCTAAACTGTTTACATAATGAAACTAGCTCAAACCTTTTTATGGATTTTTTAAATTATGAAAGTAATATGTACCTATTACAGAAAACTAGAAAAAAGAGAAAAAGAAAAAGAACCCAATATCCAGAGAAGATGTGTATTCGTTTTGAGTGTTTTTTCTTTCTAATCTTTTTTCTATTTGCTTAAATTGTATAGCATTTAGGCCTATGGTTCAGATTTGTATCCAGCTTTTAAATTTCATATTACATCATAAACATTTCCTTATGTCAATACCAACAATCATAAAAATTTGTAGTGGCTTCAAGACATTTAAACACAGAGATGTACCATAATTTAACAACTCCTTTATTATTGAACATTTTGTTTCCAAATTTTCATGAGCGTTCCTAATGATGTAATGAACATCTTTATACATACCGCTTTTTAAAATTATTTTCCTAGGCTGGTAGTTTGCTGTCTAGAATTAGACTCAAAGTTCCAGAAGAAGTCTCTCCAACATAAAGTTCAAATATTTAAAGGGAAAATAAACAGGGGAACCAGCCCTGATGATGTGGTTGGGGTTCGGCATGCTCTGGTTAGCAGCTCTGGTTCAGTTCCCGGGCACGGAACCACACCACTTATCTGTTGGTGGCCATGCTGTGGAAGCAGCTCACATAGAGGAACCAGAGGGACTTACAACTAGGATACACACCCATGTACTGGGGCTTTGGGTAGGAGAAAAAAATTAGAGGCCAGCCCCATGGTCTAGTGGTTAAGCTTAGCATGCTCCATTTTAGCCGCTCAAGTTCAGTTCCCAGGCATGGGCCTACATCACTCATTGGCGGCCATGCTGTGCCAGCTACCCACATATAAAATAGAGAAAGATTGGCACAGATTTTAGCTCAGGGGAAAAAAAAAATCAAAGAAAAAAACAGGGAAATCCAAATAAACCTCTTATATAACCTTAGTGCATTTAACAAAACTAAGAAATTGACAGAGATGCCATGCATTGACTGAAGTATGGACTTTTTCCAGATTTCTCCAGTTTTTTACTGACATCTTTCTTCTGTTCTAGGGTGCAATCCAGGATGCCGTTTTGCTCTTAGGATTCAACTTTTAGAACAGTAGTGATGACAGTAGTTTATTCAGAAAGGGAACTGAATTGTGTGTTTTCTGGGTTCTTGCATCGCTAACAACGTCTTTCTCTTCCTCTGACTTATAAAAGGTGGCCTTGTTGTGAGTGGGCTTCCTGAGTCACAATTTTCCCGGTTTTCTTCCTTTGAATATTTAAATATAATTATCATGTTTCTTATACATTTCTTTTTCTTCAGTCTAATCATTCTGAGTCCATTGGGTTTTTCTTCTATGATTGGTTCCTCACATGATCTGGCTTCTCATGTGATATTTGACAAGCCTTCACAACTCTAATTGTTTGCAGCTTCTTAGAACCTCACTGGTGGTTTGCTGTGTAGAACTGGATCAACACTCAAGAAGTCTCATCAACACAAAGTACATTCGAATTTCCGCTACTTCCATCTTCAACACTTGACTTTTTGACACAGCCCATGATTATGATCCTTTAGCAGCTGTATCTCTTTGTTGACTCAAACTGAGCGTCTATTCAAATAAAATGTTAATATCAAATAAAAAGTTGACATTAACATGAGGAAATACTTATGATATAATATGAATTTGAACATTCTTTATTAAAATAAAATGCATGGGTTATTTATCCTATCTTAACCCATGCATTCTCAATGGGAATGATTAGTGAAAAATCTCTATATTACAATGGTTTGCGGCTCTCCAAAGCTCAGCCTTACTCAACAAAATCTTAGTCCTTAGTATTTAATTTCTCTCAGGGAGAGATTAAGTCAAATTTAAATGTTTTCCTTGGGGGAGGTGATAATAAAAGTTATACAGTTATTATCTACAACAAATACAAGTTGTCCCAAACTGACAAGATAAGATCAGTTCGATGGAGGCTTAAATGTATAAACATCTTTACTATGAATTGATCCAAACCATCAGTCAACATATTAAACAAGGCAGCACCTTGGTCGTAAACATCTTGGCTACCCTCAAGATTGACACAAAGTTAGTGGCTTGGTACGATTATTCACAGACCAGAGGTCCCTCCTCATAGGTAACATGATATCATTTTGAATACAAACACATGATATAATGAACGACCCTGCTAAATGCTTTAATAAAGTGAAGACAGATTAGGGTTAATGGTATTTCTTTAGTTTATCAACTTAATAACCCAAATTAAATAGTAAATGAAATCAGTCTGGAACAGCTATTAATAAATCTTCCCCAGTCCCTAATGATCATTGCATTCTCTCTCAGTGCTTATAAATCACCACCACCACCATTAGCATTATCACCACTTTTTATTGAGCAACTGGTATGTGCAGTTTCAATGCTAAATGCCCTACACTTATTTCCATTTTTACTCTTCAGAAAAAATCCTGTCAAGTAGGTATTAATATCCTTAAGTAGGCATTAATAGCCTTTTACAGCAAAGGAAACAGGGTCAGAAAAGATAAGGAAATTTTAAACTTCATGTTTTTCTTAGAAAGGGGAGCTGGCCTTCATGGCCTGCCTGATTCCAAAACTCATGTGAACATTGCCTCTCATTCATATTTTCATATTTTTATTGTAATAGTCACTACTGTGTTCTAGACTTTATCTGATTGGTATAATTCCTGGGATTCACTTTTTCCCATGCACGAAAATTTGAATATTATTTTATCAATTTATACTTTACTCTGATTTCTTGGGAATTACTGACTACTTCCTCAATCATATTCTGTGTGTTCCTTCAGGAAACTGGCATGGTGTAGATATGGGCCTGGAGAAG